AGAATGGAGAAGTTGAGCAACATATAAGGAAATATGACCCATAACCCAAAATCTTAAGGTTTTTGGGTAAAAGTGATGTCAATCCTTACATGGGTCGAGTTCATGTCACATTAGTATTGTTCTCCCCAATAAATCCCCCTCAAAAGTTCCAACAATACATTAGATATACTCTAGATGTTGAAGTATCAGCCAATAATAAACTCCTTATTATTGTGAAGATGAGTGTCTACATGTTATGCCACAATATTATTGTCAGGAAGGTGGTAAAACAAAGTGTTTAATCCTTGTAACAACACTTTGTGGTGGGAGTGAACCTAATAAAGGTTTGCAAAACACTGTCAAATCTCTACTGTTGAGACCTATAACTAACAGTCCATCAATGAGAAGACCGGTTCGCAAGACCACATCTTCTAATGTAGATGTCGCTTCTCTAATGGGAAGATAAAATTTTTAATCAAATCATCCAACATGTATGCATATTTTGTTATCCAGATATTACGTCACTTGGGATAAATTAATCTTTCATTCCCTTTCCATAATGATGATTGTGTGACATGTTTGTTTTGGGTAAGGATATATCTTCAAGAAGATGAGGATTGTAAGAAGTCATTTTTGTAAATTACAAATAATACATAAATTAAAGCAACATAAATTACAATATATAAATTACAAATTAAAACATAAATGAAAAATAATACACAAATTAAAAAGACATAAATTACAATATATAAAATAAATAAACATAAAAATTAAATAATAAATTACATTATCTAAGTTACAAAAAAAATGACAAATCATAAAAAAATTCGTAACAACAAAAAATGAAATAAAACATAAATTAAAAATATCACAAATTTAAAAGACATAAAATTACAGTATATAAATTAAGCTATATAGAAATAAATAAACATAACTAACAATAAATAATAAATTACAGTATCTAAATTACAAAAAATAAATAACAAATCATAAAAAATTGGTAACAGCAAAAAATAAAATAAAACATAAATTAAAAGTAATACACAATTTAAAAAGACATAATTTAAAATATATAGAAATAAATAAACATAAAATTACATCATATGAATAACATATGAAAATAGAAGATAAATAATTATTAAATTAACATAATCTAATTTATGTATTATAAAAAAAATGCTGGAAAAAAATACTTCACCAATTATTTGAAAGAGTTCATGCAGAAAAAGAATACATAAACTATATATGGAATTGAATATTAAGAGATGAGAGAAGAGGGATGAAAAGGGAAGAAAAGGGATGAAGAGTGAATCAATTCCCTGTAATTACAGGCAAGAGCAGTAATAGTGTATATGATTCAAATTCAAACATGTCAAATTGAATGTTGTAACGCTCTTGTTTATTCATATTCCTCATCACCATGCAAACATCACGCTCTTCGTACGACCTTCTCGTTTCATCTACAGAGTTTCAAAGGCCACCATTGTACACTAAACAAAAGTCACTCTCGTGGAACTTGGGTTTGGAAACACGACTTCGGTTCAATTTGTTTCAAAATGAACTTCTGCTTAGAAGCATGATTCGTGCTTCCAAACACGAGTTTAGTACATTTGCAGCTCATACTAAACCTGTGTTTCTGCACAATGTTGGTTCAAGTTTTAATTCCCTGTGAATTTATTGCATCTTATGTCCAATAGTATGTTAAAAAATTACCTGAGATATATATGCAGATGATAAATAGTATGCTACAAATTGGATGTCACAAGCTCAACAATATACAATTGGTATAGGAAGAGTATAAATCATAAAGTTAAGAGGGGAACTTGGGTTTGGAAACACAATTTTGGTTCAATTTGTTTCAAAATGAACTTCTACGAGTTTAGTACATTTGCAGCTCATACTAAACCTGTGTTTCTGCACAATTTTGGTTCAAGATTTAATTCCTGTGAATTTATTGCATCTTATGCCCCATAGTATGCTAAAAAATTACGTGAGATATATATCCAGATGATAAATAGTATGCTACAAATTGGATGTCACAAGCTCAACAATATACAATTGGTATAGGAAAAGTGTAGCAATCATTAAGCTAAAGAGGGGAATCATCCCTCAGAAACTGGCCCAAGAGGTTAGAGAATCTCCCACCTTATGAGGCCTCCCTGGTAAGGAGACCTCCCCAATATGGGATTTGTTACAAAGAGTATATATATCGGGCTTCATAGTATTGAACCAATCATAACAAATTTTATTGTACTCACAACTTCATTGCTATTGGGTTAATGATATTGAATATTTGGATGTATATTTAGTTAGTTTAATTTAAATTTTAGTTAATCTTATTGGTAATTATTTATTTATTTAAATTAGTTTTATTTGCATATTAGCTAATATATCTTTTAATATCTTTAAGTCTTTTTAATCACTTATTTTTTTTAGATTAGATAAACAAAATTTAAGTTAGGTAGCTCGTTCATAATAATTGACGAACATGTTATTCAAGATATTGTGGAAGACTTTATTGATGACAAAGAATATAATTTTTACTTTGCTACAGTGTATCTGAATGATGGTATCCTACTACATGTTGGACAATCATCTAATCAATTAACTCATTCCATTCAAAAGAACATATGAGAAGGTTGGTGTTTTTCATCAAAACAAACAATAGTAAGTGTAATAAAACAATTTCATATTGATGAGGGATACAAATGTTCTGTTGTTGAGTCTAAAACTGACAAATATATTATTCGTTGTATATATTATGACAATGAGTGTCAATGGTGAGTTTGTGCTTCATCTAGTAAAATTTGTAACCAATGAGAGATTAAAAAAATTGAAGTATCTCATACATGTTTAACTACAATGTTAAATACAAATCATCAAAACTTAGACTCTACCATCATTAATAATATTATTTTTGAATTTGCTAAAACAAATCTCTCTATTCCTATTCAAACTTTTATTGCAGAAGTAAAAGATAGTCATGGTTATACAGTTATTTACAGAAAAATTTGGCTAGCAAAACAAAAGGCGTTTATCGTGACATTTGAAGACGGGAAAGAATGTCATACAATGATCTTCCAAGGTGGTTGCAAGTTATTGAAGATAATAATCTTGACACAATTCACTATAAGAAAATTTGATTTTACCAACGGACAAAATTCGTAGGTAATAAATATATATTACCGAAAGATAAGAATCCGTCAATAATTACATTGTCGATGAAATTCAACGATGGATTTATTTTTTCCATCAGTAGTTACCGACAGATATCAGTCGAAACAAGTTATGGCCGTTGATAGTTACCGAAAGCATTGTCCATCAATATATATTCGTCGGTAATTAAATAGTAATATTTATCGACGGATTATCTATCGATAACATTTGTTAGTAAATTTATTCCTATTTACCACATAACCTAACTTACCCCTGCAACCATTACCACATAACCTAATCTAACCTGTATAACATTCTAATCTAATATAAATCTAATACAACAATCGAATTCAATATAGTTTAATGAAAATCTAACTAAAATTAATCATAATTTACTATTATCATAGGATAGAAAGTATATTATTGCTAACCATTAATATATTTTAGTAAATATATTATTAAAGTTAAAGTCTCGTTAATATAACTTACAAAATCCGCACAAAAATGTGCAATAATTACATTTTTTAAAATACTTTGTGATAGATTTAAGTTCTTTAATACAAGAAAAAAATATTATAATTAAATCGTATAAATAAATAAAAAATCATGATTAATTATAACACTCTCATTATTTTTATTTTCATATAATGCTCTGATTTATAAGAGGCATGATAATAAAACACCAAATAAGTAGGTAATAAACAACTTGTAGCTTAATGAATATGAGACTTGTTATGTATGTATACTACAAGTCTCCTCACAATGTCTAAAGTGAGCATTTTTAGAGTTGATAAAATAATACACAAACAAAAAATATTGTAGGGACACATGTTATAAAGAGTGAAGAAACATTTCAAAAAATTTAAAAAACTGAATATACCATGCAAATTGAAGCACTTTAACCTGGTCATGATAGTTACAACATAGTCTCCAGCATAGATTCTACCAAATTGCTCTCTTCTCCATTTTAGTAAGTGCAATATTTGCTTCTTCATATTTTTCCAACTAAAATAAGAAGTTGCAACAAAAACTAATTAGTTAATGTATAACACAATAAACTAATGATAATTTTAAATGCATCCTGTAGTAAAAATAAATAAGAATGCAGTAGTAGTTAGCACAACAATTAAACTAAAGTAGTATATAATTCTAGTACTAAATGACATATGTATATAACAAGCAAAGAAAGAGGAAAAGGAAAACTACACATGTATTAACTATGTTACACATAATAAATACCCTTAAATGTTTGTCTTTAAAGGGCGGTTTAGGTGCCATGAGTCTAAAGGGTTCAGTAACACACAACAACCAGAAGTCTAGCTTTCTTATTTGCATGTTGAAGCATACCACTACAAAGCACAACATTTGTCAAGGTCTTTAGAGCATCTCTTGTTTCTTAGAAACTTGTAATTCCTTAGTCATTTGGGTTGAGGAGACTGTTTTACAACTTTTTACATTTACCAACATCTAAGGTAACCAACACTAACAATGGAAAATATTTTATAGAGAAAATTGAAATTAATTATAATTGAGCCATAAAGTGACTAATATACTAGTAGAAAAGTAACTCGGGTACAAATCATAATTACAATAACACACTTGTCCTTTTACGTTTAACATATTTCCATAATAATAATATTTACTTAAAGTCACCCTTAGAAAATCATCAGATAAAACTTCAAAGCCAAGGTAAGTAAAATTCTATCCTCACCTAACTAAGTTTTCACCCTCATTCTCAAAATCTCCCAATCACACAAACACTTCTTTTGTCACACTCTCTGAGATCCACTCATACAAATTGAAGAAGTTTCACATTTTCTCAAATTACCTAAAAACTATATGCACTCCACAAATTCAATGGACATCTAGAAATACCTAAATCCTCACAAAATCATTACAAACATTCTAACAGGATTCCAACCACAACATCTCTCATACCACATACTCACCATTTCACTCCAATAGCAGCATTAATCATACAAACCTGCAATAAACAGTGCAACAAAAACATACCTCACAACATTATGAATATTCAAGTAATCAACAAAAACCAAAACAATAAGAGTACTACCCAATCTAATAGTGCAGTCTGACTCTAGCAATACAAGCATCGCCATCTAATGTAATTGACAAAGTCTACAAAAGAAAACCCGTCCACAAAAGAAAACCTTCTGCATAGTTAATATTAGACTCAAACACCCAATCCCTAAACTAAAACTGAACCAAAATCAAACCTACCCAATCTAATAGTGCAGTCTGACTCTAGCAATACAAGCATCGCCATCTAACGTAATTGACAAAGTCTACAAAAGAAAACCTTCTGCATAGTTACAATTAGACTCAAACACCCAATCCCTAAACTAAAACTGAACCAAAATCAAACTTACCCAATCAGTAACAACCCTGAACCCAATATTTACGTTTAGGCACAAATTAGTTTAACTCAACCTAAACACCCAACGAACCCAATAAGAATTCAGTTTAGATCCAAAACCAAATCCTAAATCAAACAAAACAAGCAAAACATTCTAGGCATATGCACTTCAAAACAACCAGAATAACCCAACTCAATCAGACAATTAAACATTCTTGGACAAATAGAAAATATGAATCAGATATAGGAAGTAAGAACACGAGGAAGACCCACAAACCTACTGCTTCGAACAACCTTAGAATGGCTGGCAGCGAGCTTGCAATGCGGAGATGGGTGCAGCGATTTGGGGGCTGCGATGCAAGGTAGAGGTTGAAGATGAATGACTAGTTTGTGAATGACCCTAAGGCGCCTCGTGGTGCGGTGGCGACGAGGAAAAGAGGCACCACGGCTAGGTGTTCGCAATGGAGGTGAAGATGACGCGATTCGCAATGGGTTTGGCCCGATGGTTGCTAGAAAGCGAGACGCGACTGAGGCTTGTAACGGTGGGGGGCTCTGCGCACGGTAGAGGAGGCCGCGACTGAGATTTCACACAGTGATGGTGGTCGCGGGCTTACGGTTGGGCGCAACGCTGGTGCGGCTAGGCACACCGAAGGTGTTTGAGCATGACAGTCCTGGTGAGGGGAGGCGCGGTGGCAATCGTAGCGAAAGAAGGGTTCATAGAGGGATCGCGGGTTCAGGGGAGGAGAGTGAGAATGGTTTAGTAGAGGGATGCACAATGGTTGCGTGATGCCAATGGGTGGAATGCTAAGAAGCGAAGGAGATAAATGAGAGCTTAGGTTTGTGATGGTAGTGAATTAGGTGCAGATGGTCGGTATGGGTGGTGCGGTATAGATAAAGAGGCTGGCCGTGTGGGGTGAAAGCCAAAATATGGGAGTAGGAAGAGTGAAAAATGAGGGTGAGCAATTTGGCTAACTTAGCCCTGGTGGCTACTTCCTTCACCTCTATGCATTCTTTGGTTGCAGTGATTTGGGGAGAGTGTAAATGGGAAAAGGAGGAACTTGAAGGAAAAAGGAAAAAGGAGGAGAAATTAAATTGTTTGAATAAAGAGAAAGTTTAGGAGAAATTTTGATTGATTTGATTGAGATCGGATATAAAAATTATAATTTTAATTAATTATTTAAGAATATTACTATTTTGCTTATGGGTTGGGTAATAAATAATAAAAAGAAAAAATAAGTGAAGAAAAAAAGGTTTATTTATTAATTTTTAAAAAATATTTTTTTATTTTTTAATAATTTTTATTTTATATTTTAATTATTCTTTTTGGAAAAGTAAAAAGAAAATATTTTTATAGTTTTTTTTATTTTTCTTTTATAAAAAAATTATTCTTTTCAACATCATTTTTGCCTTTTTTATTATTATTAAAGTTAATTTATATTAATATTTAATAATTAAATATACAATATAATATTTATTAATTAAATAATTTTTATATATATATATATTTAGTAATTAAAAAATTAGTTTTAAAATAAAGTAATTATTTTACTAATAATTTATAATTATTTAACTAAAAATATTAATTTATATTTTATAAAGATTACAGACGGATTTTTCCTCAGTAATGAATTTAGAAATTTATAAATTAATCGACACGTTGGTAAGTTTCTTTCAATAATATAGTTTATCAGTTAAAAATATCCATCGATAAATTTTGTCGGTAAAATAAATTTATCGATAAATTAATATCTGTCTATAAATTTTCCTCGATAATTATAGTTTTTTTTTTTTTAGCGATTGTTCAGGACATTTGTTCTCCTTATTCAATACATAGTGTCGATAGTTCATTATTTATATTAGAGCATATCTTTTGAGTCATTTAAGTCATATATAGAAGACTTCAAATATTGCAAGTCAATTGTTCAAGTTAATGGTACATTTTTAACAGGAAAATATCATGCTACCTTATTGATTGCAACTACACAAAATAACAATAGAAATATATTTCCACTTGCGTTTGCAACTATGGAAGGTGAAATGAAAGAGATTTTGGTATGATTCTTGCAACTTCTAAGATATTATGTTACATTTGAAAATAATTTATGCATGATAATAGACATAGGAAAAAAAATATTGTCAACTTTACAACAAGAATATTTAATTAGAATGATTTCACCTCAGAATATTGTATTTGTCATGTTGTCTCAAATTTTAACAAAAAATTCAAAAATGTTGATTTGGAAAGACAAGTCATCAATCTAGGTAACATCTTCTAACCTTAATAAATTATTTCTCTAAGTAATATATGTATGAAATTATATTTTTCTATAAAGATATGAAATGAAAAACAAACATTTTTAGTAAAACTATATGATTTAAGGTCCGAGTTTGAACAACATATATCTTGGTTAGATGAGATTTCATTAGAAAAATGGATTCCAGCTTATGACGAAAGCAAAAAATATGGACATATGACAACAAATTTTGTTGAGTCTATGACTTTTGTTGTGAAAGAAGCACGACTTTTACCTATATGTGCCTTAATTAAAATAACTTTTGAAAGAACTAAATATTAGTTTGTGGAAAGAGACATGAAACTATATTACATGTTACGAGTTGAACACGAGTATCCAAAAGATATTATTACAATGCTTAACAAAAATGATCAATGTGCTTGATTGTATCATGTTCAAAGGTACAATCGAGAAAATTTTGAGTTTGATATACAATACAAATCAAATTCTCAACATCGTCGAAGATCGATAAGTTAAACAGTTTGATTAAATAAATGGTAGTGTGATTGTGGGAAATTTCAAGCTCTTCGACTCCTTTTTTTACATTATTGTTATTTGTTCATCTTGTCATTTACAACTGACTGCATTCTTCGATCTAGTTTACAAGTTAGAAAATATTTGTTCAGGCGTATGAATTTCAATTCTATTCAGTTCGAAATAAGGATTATTGATCTATTTATAAGTTCAAATTTCATTCCTAATCCTAATATGCATCGAGAAACATTAGAAATATCTATAACTACTCAAATTATAAATGAAATGGATGTACCAATTGCAAATAAATAAAAAAAATGGTTCATTTTATCAAAATAAAGGACATAATCGTGGAAACTTTCCATTTAAACAATAAATTTATATTATTTTATTTTAAATAATATAATATTTTAATCTCTATTATGGGCAAATTTAAATTTATCTATTTGCTTACTTCTCTTAATACTTTTATTTTCTATTTCAAACTAATAATTAAATCTAATTAATTTATAAACAATATATTTTTAAAAAATTAAATAATCTTATTTTTTTTAAATCTTAACGTTATGTTAAGTAACACCACTTTAATATAAAAAAAATAAACTCGTATTACCTAACAAATTTAAAAAAAAAACCTACAACAAAAATCTTGTTAACATTGACCTATAAACTTATTTTTTAATGTATCATTTCACTCTGGTAGAAATTTTCGAATACAATCCTATCAAGTAAATTTAGTTTTTTTTTTTAAACAATATGTAAAAAAAAAAAAGGTCATGAAGAAGAAAGATGTTATTAATTACATGAAGAAATTATTCAGATAAATGTTTTTTTGAACTTTTCTCCTTATTCTCAATTTGTACTGTTCTTTTCTAATGTTTTGCAACTTTTTTTTTTTCTTCATGAGATGTTCTACATTTCTCTTTAGCCTAAACTTACTGGATCACCGCGAAATTGATGAAAAAATAAGGTAGATTTCATTGTGTTACTCTCGCGTCTTCATTACCATTCAACTTCTTTCTAGTCTAATTGCATGGTTAGAGAAAAACTTTTATCTATAAATGTGAGAAAGTTTGAAGGGTACATGAAATTTGATTGGAACATATTAATTTTTGGAAAAAGTATTGGTATGTTATTGGTAGTTTAGGTTTTGAGACAAGAAGATAAAAGAAAACTGTTAGGTATTAAATTTTGTTGTTGTTAGAGCAGTGGTTTGGTGGAAGGACATGGGGTGGTGTGAGTGTGGTAATCAGAGCACCACTCTTTGGATACTCTTGTTGGAACCTAAGAAAGAGGCATGTAGTTGTGACAGAGTATTAATTGTTTTACTGTGGCTGATACAAGTACATGACTCTTAGATGCTGTAACTTTCTATTATTGAATTTTTTTTTTAACCATTTTATATTGCATGAAATCATTAGTGTATGTAGAATATAATGTTATTCCTTCTTGTAACTTCTGTTTTTATTGTAATCATGATTTTTTTTATGATTGCGTTTTCATGGATTTATCATTATATTTTTACATTTGCAAATAATTTATAATTAAAGATAGATGATTGTAATAGATAAAATTTCAAGTGTCTATTGTGCTCTAACTATGAATGAGAACAATAAAAAAGAAGATAAAAATTATGGATGCAAATCTAAAAAGTAATCAATTTGTAAGTTAGGATTGTGATAAAATTATTATAAGAAGAATTTTAAGCACAAGAAACAAAAGTAAAGAAGAAATATTACATTAAAACATATCAAACAAACACTAAAGATTTTTTTTTAAGTTTTTTTTTATTTTTCATTCAGTTTTTTTTTTTAAATTTAAGGTGGCAGTTGTGTGATAACTATAACTATATATATATATAATTAATTAATTAATTAATTAATTAATTGTATGTAAAACAGGATTCAACTTAGATAAATAGTCAAATATTAAATTTTATATCATATTTATTTATGTTAGTAATCATAATATAACTCTACTGAAACTTTAACATGTTGTATCTGTACAACATTCCATTTATATGCTCATAATTATTTATTTTTCCACATTTAATAATTTGTGTCTTTATAGCATGGAAAATTCATGCTCATGTTATTTTGTACGTAGTGTTTGAATATCATTTACAAAGGATAAATACAAGTATTTTGATTTCATCTTATATATATTTATAAAACTATTCAAATGAAATTTAATTTGTTTGAGATACAAGTAAGCATTACTTTATAAAAAAAATTATAACATTTTTTTAAGACATGTATAATGATATTTAAAATTTTAAATTAACTATTGGAATTCAAACATTTTATAGAAAAATGAGAAAATAATTGTTCAGTATTTATTTTAAATTAATTAAATTAAACATATGCATTTGAAAAAAAAACTATTTATTTAATTTTTAGGAAAAATATCTATCACATATAATCAACATGTTTAAAAACAAAATCATATAAATATTTTATAAATTAAAAAAATATGAAAATAATTTATTTATCAAATTTTGATCTAATTTTAATTTCATAAATTTAACTTTTAAATATTTTTATCAATTCTTATTGAATATATATATATATATATATATTTAAATATTAAATATTGTAAAAAAAAAAAAGACTAAGAAAGTTAATGAGAAATCAGACAAAACTTCACTCATCCTTAAGTCACTATTAATCTCCACTCACAGTGACAAAAATGAAATAAGAAAATATTTAATTAGATGATAAAATAAAAACTTTTATATTTAATTAGATGATAAAATAAAAACTAAAATTAAGTTAGGGTTATTTTGAAATATGACTATTTGTAAAAAATGTATGAATAATGTAAAGGTATTATTAAATCTTATATTACGTTTTAAAATCAAATAACTATTTTACATTAAAATTATAATATACATTGAAAATATAACAAAAATCAGTTTGGAAAAAAGAGATACCAAAATCAAAACATTATT